TAACTTCTTTGGCAGTGCTAGAGACTGAACTCAGGGCCTCATACATGCTTACCCCTGAGCTGCATCTCTAGCCCTTGAAATACGGATTTAACAACAATTGTTATATATTATTTTGAGAAGCTAGAATAGAAACAAAGGTCATCCATTGGGGGTGGTGCACGCCTTTAACCCCAGCACTCAGGAGGCAGAGGCAGGCAGATCTCTGAGTTTGAGGCCAGCCTGGTCTCATACCAAGTTCCAGCCAAGGGTACAGAGAAACCCTGATTGAGAAAAAAAACAAAACAACAACAAAAACAAAACCAAACAAAAGATGAATAAAATATAAAAATATACTCTAAGCTATATACCAGAAAGAAATTCTCTAAAGATCTGTATTTACTAATCTTTTATATAAACCTAAGTTCACTTTAACACCTCTGTCTTCTTTAGCAAAATCATGACCTCATTAGTGCCAGGAACATCATCTTCTTCACCTCTGCAGTTCTACAAAGCACCATCACATGCAGTATGATAAAGAAAACAGGAAACAGTGTACTCATTGAAGGAATAAATGAATGAGATGATCTCAGTTTACAAAACAAGGTCATACTGTAGCAAACAGCCATTTCTTCATTTTTTTTTTTTTATTTTATTTTTTTGGTTTTTTGAGACAGGGTTTCTCTGTGTAGCTTTGCGCCTTTCCTGGAACTCACTTTGTAGACCAGGCTGGCCTCGAACTCACAGAGATTCTCCTGGAATTAAAGGCGTGCACCACCACTGCCCAGCACCATTTCTTCATTTTTAAACCTATACAGCAGCATTAAAACACTAAGCCTGAAGAATGGCACTACCTCAGAGACCCTAAGATTCCTAGACCTCATTTTGGGGCAGATGCACAGGACCCCATTTTCATATTACTCATGTCTACCTGCCATTTCTTTTCTGACCTGTTATATAACCTGCAGCAAGCACTGTTGAATTGCAACAAAACCCAATTTTCTTTCCCCTACTTATTCTCCTTTTACACCATTTAGCATGACCAACAAGTGCCCTCCACCAGTTCCAGAATCTAAAGAAACTAAGAAAGATAATCTTACCAATGGTATGATTCCCATAAAGGAGTTGCTCCAGAATTGCAGTTTTCCCAACAGACAACAAGCCACAGACGACAACCTTGCAGCCCTTTCCCATCTTCTCTCAGGACAAAACTGTGGAGAAAATGGAGGGACTTTAAAACTGGACACACTGAAATACAGCCTTTCTTTCCCTTAAAGTTTAAGTTGAACCAGTAATACAGGGGAAACTCCAAATATTAAAAGGGTGATACAGAATAAGATAATCTTTCCACACTCCATTCTCCAGGCTCTTTGTGAAGAGTTTCTTATATATTGCCACAGAAATCATCTGGATAGACTGTAAAAACACCTAAAGGAGATGCGTGTAATCCCAGCACTCGGAAGGCAGAGGAGGATCAGCATCAGCTATATAGTAAGTTAGAGACCACCTTGGATGTTGATATCTAGGCATGGCTGCTCATGCCTACAATCCCAGCACTCTGGAATAAAAGTAAAGAGTGCTGAGGGTGGAGGATTACCATGAGTAAGGTAACATTTTCCTTAAGGCTTTTGTTTTTCCAAAAGACAGGATAGTGGCAGCTAAGGTAAAAAAGGGAAATGGTTCATTAAAAACAACAGAAAAGTCTTTTTTTTTTTTTTTTCAAGACAGGGTTTCTCTGTGTAGCTCTGCGCCTTTCCTGGAACTCACTTTGTAGACCAGGCTGGCCTCGAACTCGCAGAGATCCGCCTGGCTCTGCCTCCCGAGTACTGGGATTAAAGGCGTGCGTCACCACCACCTGGCCAGAAAAGTCATTTTTAAAATGTCAAATGGTGGGGTTGGAGAGATGGCTCAGAGGTTAAGAGCACTGGCTGTTCTTCTAGAGGACCTGGGTTCAATTCCCAGCACCTACACAGTGGCTTAACATATAAGGGTGTTTTGTCAGCATGTATGTCTGTGCGCCATACTCATGCCTAGTACCTGTGGGAGCCAGGAAGAGGGTATTAGATCCCCTGGACTGGAGGTAAAGAGAGTTCTGAGATGCCATGTGGGTACCAGGGTCCTCTAAACCGGTGAGCAGATGGCTCCCCATCTCCACTTTATAGAAATGGACTCCTGAAGATGCCTCCATCCTAACCCTGGAAACCTTTGAGACCTTACTTTAAAAGGACATTTGCAAGTGTGACTGAATTAACCTTGAGACAGAGATCAAGATGGAGGTGGAGATCTATCACAAGTGTATGTTTGAGAGAAGTTTGAGAGAGGGGATGACTGACTGGAAAGTGGCAGAAGCCAGCCACCAAGGGATGCAGGTGGTCTTGGGCTGCTGTTCCTGACACCAGGATTTTTTTTTAATTTAATGTTCATTGGTGTTTGCTGCAGGTGTATCTGTGTGAGTGTGTCAGAAGTCCTAGAGCTGGAGTTACAGACAGTTGTGAGCCATCATGTCGGTGCTGGGAATTGAATCTGGGTCCTCTGAAAGAGCAGCTAGTGCTCTTACCTGCTGATGCATCTTTCCATAAGTGTTTTATTTGAGCCATTAAATATATTGCAACGGAAAAAAGGCGGGGCCAGCACAGTCTCCCCACTTGAGGGAAAAGCAGAGCACACAGCAAGCCACAGAGTAAGATACAGAAGTAAGAGAACGGGAAAGCCCAGAGGCAGGATAGACAGAAGTTAAGAAAAGCTGGCAGAAACTAAGCCAAGCTAAGGCTGGGCATTCATAAGCAAGACTAAGCCTCCGTGTGTGATTTATTTAGGAGCTGGGTGGCAGGCCCCCTAAAAAGTTAAAAAACAAAACAAAACATGGAACTACACTCACAGACTTGTGGTTATTTTCTCAGGAAACCTGATCCTGGGAGCTGGAGAGGCTCAGTAGTTAGAGCACTTGCTGCTCCAGCAGAGCACCTGGGTTCAGGTCCAGCACCTATATGGAAGCTTACAACCATTGTGCCATCTAGTTAGGTCATACGTACATGCAAGCAAACACACATAGACTGAAAATAAATCTTTAAAAAAATTAAGACTGTCCTAAAAAAGAAATCTTTTTTTTATTTAATTTTATTTATTTTACATCCCAACTGGAGTTTCCCCTCCCTCCTCTCCTCCCAGTCCCTCCCCTATCCCCCACAGTCCCACCTCCCCAATCCACTCCTCTGTTCAGAAAGGGGCAGGCCTCCCATGGGTATCAATGGAGTTCCTCCTATCAAGCTGCATATTAAGCACCTCCCCTTGTATTAAGTAAGGTTGGGCAAGGCAATCCCATATGAGGAATAGGTTCCCAAGAGCCAGTCAGAGGTTAGGGACAGCCCCTGCTCCCATTGTTAGAGTCCCACAAGTAGACTAAGCTACACAACTGTCACATTTATACAGAGGGCCTAGGTTGGTCCCATGCAGGCTCCCTGGTTGTTGTTTCAGACTCTGTGAGCTCCTATGAACCAGGTTAGTTGTTTCTGTGGGTTTTCTTATGATGTCCTTGACCCCTCTATAATCCTTCCTCCCTCTCTTCATTCACCAGGATTCCTTGAGCTCGGCCTAATGTTTGGCTGTGGGTCTCTGCATCTGTTTCCATCAGTTACTGGATGAAGGCTCTCTGATGACAATTAGGGTAGTCACCAATCTGATCACAGGAGATGGCCAGTTCAGGCCACCTATCCACTGTTGCTAGGAGTCTTAGCTGGGGTCATCCTTGTAGATTCATGGGCATTTCCCTTTCATCGGGTTTCTACCTGATCTGGAAAAGCACCCCTTTCCAGTCATCTCTTTCAGTACTCCCCCACTCCATCCACCCCCAACCGGATGCCTCTTGTTCCCATCCCCAGGGAGATCTCTAAAAGAAATCTTATCCTGAGCACTCTGTCCTAACTAGCAAGCAACACCAGATGTGTTAAAAAGAAGGGAGAAGGGGAGCGTGGCAATTAATTGGAAGATAACTTCCACCCATGTCCAGGCTCCACTGGCTACATCACATACCCCCAAACAAGGGCTCTGCTGACGCGGGCCTCCCTCTTGGGATGCTGGAGCAACTGTCACTTTATACCCCTTCACTCCCTTAATGTGTGTCCTTGGCACCAGCTTAAATACATAGCTCAGTATTAGCATTTGCTCCCGAGGCTAGAACTTGTGCGTTGTTTGCGGCTGCAGCGCCAACAGCTGAGACTGCGCCTGGCACATATTAAGATATATATAGATATATTGAATTTTTTTAAAAAAGACAGATGAGGATTCCTACAATGCTAAAGCCATTATTTATTTTAAAAGATGAACTGAGTCACAGATTGATGTAAAAGGTAAACATGATTCCGGAACCTTGGCCACAAACAAGAATAGAGTATTAAAACCGCACGACTATATGAAAAAAGAAAATTCTGGAGCTGCAAAAACTCCAATACACCATTATTTCTTAATAAAGAACGCAATGCAGAATGCCAGCATTCTGGGCATTTCTTCCTGAAACAGTCGTACTTAAGAGGGGTTGACAAATGAACAATTTGCTATCCTAAAAGCATCCATAAAATAAGCCCCCGCGTTCTGACGTTAGCACCTCCGGCTCCCATCCACCAGCTGGTTCGGCAGGTCCCCGGCGGGCTCAAGGACACGCGCGAGGCCCACGCGTGCAGCCACTTGCGCCTACGCCCACCCGGTGGCTGTCCTGCGGCCACGCTGCTCCGGGATCACCGAGCGGAGCCGGCGGAGACACCAACCTGACACTGCGGGGCAGTGAGGCAGAGGCACGCCGGTCACTGCGGCCCACGGACACCGCTCTGGAGCCAGTCCCGGACCTGGCTCCTCAGGACCCGCACCGCGACGCACACGGGGCTCAGCGCCTCTCACCTCTTGCAGCCTTTGCAAGCTCAGAGGCAATGCTGAGAGCTAGCGGGAGGACATCCGGAAGCGACCTGCTGTCCCGCCTGACTCCGCCCACCAGATTGGATGTTGGAACTACATGCCCCATGAGGCACTGTGCGGCCACCCCGCCCCACCGGAAGGAGAGTCGCCGAGGTGGGGGCGGAGCCACAAAAGGGATTGTGGGAGAAAGGCTTCTTCCTTTCCTCTGGCGGCAGCCATCAGGTAGGCTGGCTGGGCTGTATTTGCGTTTCTATCCGCCGCGAATCGCGTTAGTCTTCAGCCATCCGGCCCTGGCGGCCCTGCCGCCTCGGAGATGCTTCCTCCCACGGGCGTTCAGTCAGGATGCGGGGTGGAGAGGGCGCGAAGACGCAGCCATCCGGGAGGCTGGAGGGGAGACGCGATGGCGGCGGGATCCGCGCTGGGCCCGGGCCTGAAGGAGGCGCGGGGTTGAGGCACGGAGGCCTGGCCAGGCCGGCCGCGGGGCGAAGCTTGCCGGGTCTTAGTCGCCGGCGGTGGCGGTCGCATCCCTGCGGCCAGCCCCGGCCGATGGGTCCAGCCGAGTCGGCAGCGGCGCCGTGCCGCTTGTGCGGAGCCGTTCTCGGTGTCCGTGGAAGGTGGGGCGCCGGAAGGGACGGAGCAGTTCTGGTCATGCCTGACAGCGATCGCCTTTTCAATCTGCTTCCTCTCAAGGTGAGCCAAGATGGGTGCATACAAATACATCCAGGAGCTATGGAGGAAGAAGCAGTCGGACGTGATGCGCTTTCTCCTGAGGGTCCGCTGCTGGCAGTACCGCCAGCTCTCGGCGCTGCACAGGGCTCCCCGCCCCACCCGGCCTGACAAAGCGCGAAGGCTGGGATACAAGGCCAAGCAAGGTGCGTGGTGTCCTGACGTGGGAGATCCGGTCCCACTGCCCCAGAAATCCTCGGTTTGGAGTCGTCCCCCTCCCTCCCACGCGGTCAGTTTAGCTAAATGTAACAGGAAGCATTGGGAAGTCTTCAGTGAATCTCACTTGTTGGTGTTTGTGTGTGTAGGTTATGTCATATACAGGATTCGTGTCCGTCGTGGTGGCCGCAAACGCCCAGTTCCTAAGGGTGCAACTTATGGCAAGCCTGTCCATCATGGTGTTAACCAGCTAAAGTTTGCCCGAAGCCTTCAGTCTGTTGCTGAGGTAAATGGATTGATGTACTGGTTGTCTTGGCAACCCATTAAGGGTTGTGGGCAAGAGGAAATGGGGCAACCAACATAACTGGGTATCAGGTGGGACTGGAGGTATTTTGTACTTAACCTTGGCAAAGAGCAATTGTTATCAAAACTGTTACTGTTCTGTGCTTAAGTATATACTGAAAAGTTTTTTTGTTTTTTATAGAGAGTGAACTGCAGAAACTTGAATACACTTATCCACTGCAGCCTGACCATTATCAGCTTACTTCCTTTTTAAAAAATTTCTTAAAGATTTTTTTTATGTGCATTGGTGTTTAGCCTGCATGTATATCTGTTAGTGTCAGATTCCCTAGAACTGCTCACTGCTGTGTGGGAGCTGGGAATTGAATCCAGGTCCTCTGGAAGAGCAGACAGTGCTCTTAACCGCTGAGCCATCTTTCAAGCTCTATTTTGTTAGTTGCTTTAATATACTAGGTTCTGAAGAACCTAAACTTTTAAAGGCAGTCAATTTTTGAGATGTTCTCATGTTACTTTCACTTTTGTTGCTAACACAGTGTGATTAGTTACAGTTTTTCTTTTGGATTGCTAAGCTATGTTCTGTTATAAGAGACCCCTTTGCAAAAGTGGAAGCTTTTGATTCATTGACTCCTGTATAAGGCCATGAAGGGGGCTGTGACAGTACTCAAAACTCCAAGCCTGGTGTCAATATGTCTTAGTTAGAATTAAGAGGGAAATGATGTGTTTCTGTCTATATCTGTCGTTTGAGCTAGTCTTTAGTGTGTGGGGACCTGACCTGCTTCAGTCTCTGACCCAAGGAAGGATTTTTGTGTAATTAGCTGCTGTGAGCAGTACATAAGACTGACTGGGCTTTTCACCCTGTTTTAGGAGAGAGCTGGACGCCATTGTGGGGCTCTGAGAGTCCTGAATTCTTACTGGGTTGGCGAAGATTCCACATACAAATTTTTTGAGGTTATTCTCATTGATCCATTCCATAAAGCTATCAGAAGAAACCCTGACACCCAATGGATCACCAAACCAGTCCACAAGCACAGAGAGATGCGTGGGCTGACATCTGCTGGCCGCAAGAGCCGTGGCCTTGGAAAGGGCCACAAGTTCCACCACACTATTGGTGGCTCTCGACGTGCAGCCTGGAGAAGGCGCAATACTCTGCAGCTCCATCGTTACCGCTAATACACGTAATGTTTGTAAAATTCATACCCAATAAACAATTTAGGAACGTCATGTCTGCTTAAAGTTGTTATTTGTCTGTTAAAATAAGTCTGCAGATTGTCATGAAGCTTTATGGAATTATAGCGGTTAAAGTGCAATAATGTTTGAAGGCTACAAGTGATGGTGTGTCTTGTTTCTGATAACCTTTTTGTCTTTGTATTACCTACTTAGGGGGTTTAAGTGTATGGTGTTAACACCATGTGGTACCCTGTGTGTAAAATCCTGTAAAAGGAGTCCTAGGACTAGCCCTGTAGATGTGTTTGGTGCATGTGATAGAACCTACAGCTTTATTGGGATGATGCAGTCTTCTAGTTTGCTGAAGTGACTGCTTGGGAGTTTGAGTACAAACTTTTAGAGTTGGGTTTTGCTTAGAAATGAATAGGAAGAGAAGCTTTTCAACCTGTTTGTGAACATGCGTAGAAAAGAGATCAGCTACAACCCACATTTTGAAAATTGAATCCAGTGTCCCATTTTCAGAAGAATCAGGTAAAATTGGAAGGTTTCGTTTTCTGTTAGATCTCTGGAGTATGAGTTTGATGCCAAGTAATGGGTATTTGCACCTGTGTATTTTGAAGTTGGAGATTGAAAATTGGATGGGGTGGGGCATGTTTAGGGGTGGTATGGTAAGGTTGCCCTTGAAAGGGCAAATTGTTTCCCTTAAGGTTTGTAAACTAGTGATGGGTGCCATGTGGGGTTCAAGTTAATACCAACCAAGTAAACTTAAAAAGTTGTGATGAAGTTAGTATGCAATCACTAAGAAGCTTCTATCCACTAGCCACATAAAAAGGGTGGCTGGGTAGTTAAAGGTAAATCCTAGACCAGTCAGTTCATCTTGGAGGTAAGAAAAGTCAGTTGGCAGTATGACTTCATTGTTTACAGTCTTCCCTTAGGTAGTGGCTAGGGTTACTTGTCCCTGGTATATTACCTGGGAGTTGTTGACATTTCACAAAGGCCACACATACCGCCACATTTTTGTTTGTGCCATTCCTTGAACTAGTTTCCCACAGTACATTTTAGTATGGAAGAAATAGATAATTGCCCTTATCACAGATCTGGGCTAGCAGGCTTGATTTAAAAAAAAAAAAACAAAACTAACTGATGCCTTTAAACTTTTTTTTTTTCTCTTCAGATTTTTAAAGGATGATTTTATTGATTTCCAGAAAATACTAGACTCAAAATCTTGGGACCTAGAATTCTTTTCTATTCAGCAAAACAAATCATTGTGTATAGAGGTTGTTCAACTAAAGTAATAAATGTCTGTTAAACAAGTGGACCTATGTTATCTTTTATGTTAAAGCAAATGAAAAAAAAAACTGCAAAAGATACCATTAGGTAGAAATGACAGCATCATTTGAAAGAAAGTGGAGTATATTAACAATTAGGGAACTGCTTGGGCCTGGCACTGCCTCCGACTCTGTGCTTGGCACTGGGAAGAGTCCTGCTGTCCTTGCCATCCTTGAGCATTATCCACACAGCAGCTGGAGGGATCCTGTCAAGTTTATCCTGGCCTTCTATGTGCTGGAAACCAAAGTCCTTAGCAAATGACCTATGTCTGCCCCCTTAGTTACTCGGTCTTCATTGTAAATCTTTCCCCAGACAATTGGAATGCTAGTAGATGCTATGTGATAATGCTAAAGTTTTTCGTTTTATTTCAGGTGGTTTCAATTAGCTGAGGCTGTCATTTAACTCCTGCCTCCACCTCCCATGTACCAGGATCATAGCAGGCATGCATTAACACTTAAGCTATTTTTGTCTTGAGAAAAGATCTATATAGCCCTGGCTGGTTTGGAATTTGGCTGTGTAGACCAAACTGTACTGGACTTAGATCTACCTCTGCCTATACACTCTTGGTTTCTTTCTGAAACAGTTTTAATGTATAACCCAGGTTGACCTTGAGTACTGAGGTTACAAGGATGCCCAATTTTCGTAGTAGTTAGTCTCACAAGGATCAGGTACATACACTGATCTATTATCACTGTAGTATATAATTAAATGGTGTACTAAAGAGTACACAAAATGTATGGCTGGGGATAGTTAACACCTTTTATCCTCACACTTGGGAGGTAGGCAAGAGGATCAGCAGTACAGAGCCTGTTTCAAAAGAGGCTGTGAGTAGCAAGCTCTGCCTTAAGTCTTCCTTCATTGTACACCTTTCATCTCAGCGCCCAGGAGGCCCAGGCTGTGGATTTCTGAGTTCAAGTCCAGCCTGGTCTACAGAGAGCTCTAAGTCTGCCTCCCAGATTCCTGTTCTGAAGGCAATAGGTATAATCAGTTTCTTGGATTTGATTTTAGATTTTGAGATAGTAACAAGCCTAGAGCTGATACTCACCAGAGTATGGAAACTACTGTTGTTTGCCACCACATCTGCTACCTTACCCTGCTTATGTGGTGCTAGGGATGGAATCGGTACCTTGTGTGTGCTAGGCAAGCACTCTTCCAACTGTAAGAAATACTTTTCCTGTTGAGACAGTCTTGCTATGGATCCCAAGATAGCAGATCAGCATCTGCTTCTGTGCATGATGGGATCACATTTATGTATCATCACACCTGGCTCAGGAGATACTAAAATGTAATTTATTTTTATCCAAATGGTAGGATATTATACATATTAAGTTCTTTGCTGAGTTACCTAGGAGCTTATTTGTCCACAAAGAGCTTCATTCTCTTTATTTTGCATGGTATTACAGAGATGTAATGTAATTTGATGCGGCCCTGGTATTACTCTCTACAACAGTGCTTCTCAACCTGTGGGTGGAGACCCCTTTGGGAGTTGAAGGATACTTTGACAGGGGTTGAATATCAGACACCCTGTATATCAGATGTTTGCATTATGATTCATGTAGCAAAATTACAGTTATAAAGTAGCAATGAAAATAATTTTATGGTTGGGGTCACCACAACATGAGGAACTGTATTAAAGGGCTGCAGCATTAGGAAGGTTGAGAACCACTAATCTAGAGGAACAGACTGAATTTGCAGTACAAAGGGGGATTTGTTAGATTATCTTACAAGATGCAGGCTGGGTAGTGCAACAATAGCTGGATGCCTCAGAAATCCCAGTTCAGACTGAAGTTTTGGAGGGTTCCTGAAGAGCTGCTGCTTGTCAAAAACCACTGATGACAGCAAAGGATGTAGGAAGTGGAGTCAGTAAGAAAGTAGGTGCACTCACTAGCAGAGAGACCTAAGACAAGCAAGCAAAAACACGCTTTTCCCTTGGACTTTGTATAATGGCCACTCCAAGGGAAGATCTTCCACAGTTAATGCTTCCATGAAATACTACCACAGAATTGCATGTCCCATAGTTGATTGACAACCAAGTTAATCATCACAGATCCTTCCTGGTGAATATTTAAGATTTTATACTATGAGTTACTACAGAAAGGAAAATGTGCTTGCAGTTTACCTGTATGATACATTCTAGTAGAATGGTTGAGTTAAAAGTAGATAAACAGCCAGATGGTGGTGGTGGTGCACACCTTTAATCCCAGCACTTTAGAGGCAGAGGCAGACTGGTCTCTGAGTTCAAGGCCAGCCTGGTCTACAGAGTGAGTTCTAGGACAGCCAGGGCTACACAGAGAAACCCTGTAGATAAACTTTGATAGAATGGCTGAAGAGATGACTGGATGGATACAAACACTTACTATTCAGCAGAGGACCAGAGTTCAGTTCTCAGCATCCTTATCAGGCAACTGGCAACCACCTGAAACTCCAGCTCCAGGGGATCCATCGCTGCCTTCTGGCCTTCCAAGAGTACCTATATATATGTCTACATCCCAACACTAACATACACAGAAATAAAATAAAAATAAGCTTGGAATTAAGCTCAAAATATCCTCAGTCCCACTGAGCCTGGAACTCACTGGTTTTTGGTTTGGTTGGTTAGTTGGTTTTTCAAGACAGGGTTTCTCTAACAGCTCTGTCCTGGAACTTGCTTTGTAGATCAGGCTGGCCTCGAACTCATAGAGATCCACCTGCCTCTGCTGGGATTAAAGATGTGCACCACCACCACCCGGTTTACTCACTAGCAAGCCTCAGTGATCCTGTCTCTACTCTCACTTGCTCCTATGGGGCTACAGGCAAGCAGGACCTCTGCACACAACTACAACCAGCATGCCTGCCACTTCATTGTGTGACAGAGCTTCTGGCCTATAAACCTGGCAGTGGCACACACCTTTAATCCCAGCACTTGGGAAAGCAGAGGCAAGCAGATCTCTGTAAGTTCGAGGCTAACCTGGTCTATAGAGTGAGTTCCAGGACAGCCAGGACTATACAGAGAAACCCTGTCTTGAAAAAACAAAACTAACAGGCCTCCCTGGCTTCAGTCTGACCCCCATCTTGCCAAACTCTCAGATGCCAGAAATCAGTTTTTTGAATATTCTTCACTCAGGAAAGAGATAGTTCCTTTAAGTCTGTTCTGGAAAATCAAGCTGGCCTGAGATACCAGGGTGAGGTGATATGCAGATACAAGCTACATTTTGACCAACAGCCACCTCACAGAGAATGACCCAAAGTGTTAGTTTTTACCCAGAAGTCCTCTCTCCATAGCCCTGTCATCACTGAACTATTTCAGCTTTGGGAAGACTGGCCAGTTGGAAGATTTTGATTATTGATCTGCAGTGAACACTGCCAACAGACATGCAGTGAAATAAGCAGCAAATAGAGGCTGTTAGTGGGAAACGCTGTTTCCTTTAAACATTCCTCTCAAGCTGGTCACAGTGGTGTGTGTCTGTAATGCCAGCATTTAGGAGGCTGAATCAAGATTGCCATGGATTCCAGCCCAGCCTAGACTAGATAGCAAGACCCTGGCTCAACATCCCTCCACTCCCCAGAAAAACCCACAGCAATAAATCGACTGCCAAGATATCATAGTTGGTCTGTGCTTTAGGCTTCATAAAGCACTCAAAAGCATGCTTTTGGAACTGGGTGTGGTGGCCCAAGCCTTCGATCCCAGCTCTTGGGAGTGAGAGGCAGGTGGATCTCTGATTTTTGAGACCAGCCTGGTCTACAGTGAGTTCCAAGACAGCCAGGGCTACACAGAGAAACCCTGTCTCAAAAAACCAAAACCAAAAAGAAAAAAGCATGCTTTTGAAGATGTACCCGGCACACATGGTGCAGTTTACTTTCGAATTTCGAAGCACCACGTCTCTTCAAAATTAATAAATAACTTCCTTTAATTGACATACAAATTTAATTGCTATAAACACCTCAACTAATTTGCTTGCAACTCTCCTTGTAATTTAGAGAAGTTCATTATTGGTCAATGCATTGTCTAATCCCTAAACTTCCTGTGAGAGTATAAGCATACTACTTAGGTAATTATTAACTATGCGAGATTATTTCATTCATCAGAGAGGAGCGTTCTAAAAGCAATCATCTTTGGGGTTGGAAAAATGGCCCAGCAGTTAAAAATAAATAACGCAAAACTTTTAGAAAGATCATCCACACTTAAGATCTATATTTCTTGATCCCCAGTTGGAGTCTGTAGGTTGAATCTGTTGCAATCAATTTATTACTGATCACTTAATCATACTAATTTATCAATTAATATGATCACAATGAGAACATTTCAATATTCTGCCCAATTTCCAAAATAATAGTTCTCTAACTTGTTAATGCTTAGTTTTTTTTGTTTTTGGTTTTGGTTTTTGGTTTTTTTTTTTGGTGTGTGTGTGTGTGTGTGTGTGTGTGTTTTCAGTTGAGGCGGGTCTCGCTGTGTAAACTCTCATCTACTGCTTCAGAACCCGCCTGACTGCCTGCCTGCTGCCATGCTCCCCACTCTGATGGTCACGGACTCATCCTCAATGCTTTCTCTTATAAGTTGCCTTGGTCATGGTGTCTCTTCACAACAATAGAACAGTTACTAAGACAATAGCAGTCCCCTTAACTTTGTCCACACTGGGAGACATGAAACCTGTGAACATGTTGGGCTACAAAACAAACAGGACAAAGGGTACTATCAGCTGACTTTGACATGGGAAATTTCCCATGGCCTAATGTGGTCCTCAGAGTCCTCTAAATGGAGAAGAGGCAGGAGAGCTGAAAACCAGAGAGACAGCATTGTGAGGAGGACTCAGCCCAGCAGTGCCAGCTTTGCAGACAGCCAGGGTCCACAGGATCACATATAGAGGCTTTCCCCAGGTATCCACAGGAAACAGTCCTGCCCACATCTGGATTCTAGTCCAGAAAGACTGCCTTGGACCCCAGCCTACAAGCACTGCACTCTCATAAATCTGTATTTTGTTAACCACAGTTTGTGGCAATTTATTGAAAAAT